ATATATATATATATATATATATAAATGATAGAAAATTCCATATAATACATTTTTGTCAATAGAAGCAATATTATTTTATAAAATATATTGAATATGTTATGTATATTGTACCATTTTGCCCTCTAGCGCATTAGTGAGCAATTACATAAAAATATTCTCAAACATGCACTCAAGTCTCCAAATTTTATTGTGACTTCTCGGTATGTGATTTTTAGGTCACTTTGATATTTGGACTTGTAGCGTTTTTAAAATTATCGACAGCAGCACCAGACAGCGCAGGAATAGTAGAAATGGTGAATGGATTGGCGTACGGTAAGTCAGACTTCTGTTTTTTAACTTTCCAATTCTTTCTTTCAATATTTACAACAATATTTTAAGAATTTCTATGATAGACTGTAATTTATTCATTCGATAAACTCTAAAATAATAGAAATTGTTATAAAGAAAATATTTTTATTTTCTGTCTTTAAATACGATTTAGATTAGGCTCCAACAGAAAGCAGCACTAGTGATTATTGATTACTAAATTAATCTTCTTTCCTTTCACTCAACAAAATACTTGACTTATTGAACATTATAGCTGAAAAAAAAAATAAATTTTAATAAATATTTCTAAAAAAAATGTTTTACTAAAAATATTTATTTATTTAATACAAAAACCATTTTTTTTTATTGAGTAAATATTTATTTATTATAAGTAAACGTTTATTTAGCACTAGAAATATGTATTAAGATTTAATAAATCTTTTAGGGCTTAATTGGAAATGTTGTATAGGCTTTACTATTATATCAATTGCATCATTCAACAGGTGGGATTCCTTACGGAAGCGTGAGCGGTATGCTCGCCAAGTATCCAGGATATGGGCAGATTAATGCTCAAGCCAGACAATTTGACATTCTGAGCAGCACTCAACGGCCCGTAATTATCACGCCGAATTTCCGAGCGACCCGACCCGTAGTGGGAATTTCCCCTCGACCTGTGCAAATTTATAATCTTCCTGGTGTCATCGCCCCCGGTATCGTCGGCAGGATCAGCCAGATCGGCTATTAGTTTGCCAGCCTGTTAGAACGATCTCTCCATCAATCATCAAATGCTACATCAGTCACTTGAGCTTTTCTTTCCTCATCATGAAACTCTCGACGAAGAACGTACATTAAGCCACCCACATCGTAAAGTTACATCCTGCAGCACGATATCCATTATGATACAAAGTAGAAATAATTGGTTAATGCACTATTTTCACCGAGTTAATTTACGCTAAAATTAAAGTTGCACAGTTCTCACGTAAATTATTCGTAATTATGAGTAATAATATATATTATTTAAAAATATATCCTCATATGTTTTAGTTAAAGACCGAAACTTTGTGATACATTTTATGTATTTATGCATTTCTTTGTATTTGTCTACTATTATAATTATTGCCAGATGGTTAATTGATAGAAATGTCTAATATTCTCTATCAATAGTAATGTTATGTACGAAATGGACAAGAACTTGATAGAGTTTTATTCACAACTATAAATGTTGTTTTTTATAACTGTACTTTATTTATATCTTTTGCTAGAAAAAAATTAAAGATTATAATTTTAAAAATCTCATATTTTTTCCAAATCATAAAAGAACACATTTTAAACTCTATGTAATAATAGAATTGATAAACCCCTTCTCCAAAAAGAACTCTGAATATTCGTCCATGTATGAAATATAAAAATCCGATTAATGAACATTTTGTAAATGTCAAAATCTGCAAGTAGAACTTAACATTATACATTCTTTTGCTTATAAATTCGATAAAGCTTTTAATTTGCATGTTTGAAACAATCAAAACATATAAAGATTATAACTTTACGATCCACCCTTTGCACCCTCACATTCAGCATCGAGGGTAAAAGGAGTTTAAAGGAGAGAAAGTATAAATGACATCGGTCACGATGTCTGTCCCTTAGTCGTCAAGAGCCGCATGCACGATGCATTACGCGTCACACGTGAGTATCCTTGCATAAAAGTCATACAGGAAAAAGTAACAAAATTGCAATTTCATAACGATCCGTAGTAGCGTAATAAATCATTGCAAAATAAAAATTTGCTATGTGTCGAATAGATTTATGTGAAGTGTCAACTGCAAAATGTTTATCAAAATATCTGCCGTTTGCATTTTTTTTATAACTGAGTATGCGGGAAATTTGTTGCAATCCTCAACGTGATATAATAACCGGAGTGAATTTATTTGTGAATTTATTAATGAGAATATTATAAATATTTATTCTCTCGAATATATTTGCGGTATATTTGCTCTTTATATTATAACGCATAACATAATAAATTATATTACATAAAGATTTGTATCTAATCTAATCTTGTTAAATTTATAATATCACAGTTTACAAAAAAATTCTAATTACAACGTTTACTTAATTAATTATTAAGTCCCATATTTATTAATTAAAAAAAGTAATAGGAAAGTGTAATCTATTTAATTCTTACATTTTATTAGTGGCTATTTGTTTATATTATGTATTTATATATTTAAAAATATATAAAGCTTATGATACATATGTTAAATATGGGTAAGGAGGTATAAAATACGTTCAGATCAAACATGTGAAATAAATAAGAAAACGTTATTAAAAAAACGTATGTTGACTGCCTGAACAAAATTGCAATTTCATTATTGTCGTCTTCTGTAGTAGATTATGGTGTAAGATAATTTCAAGTATGTTTTTACGCGTGCACATATGTAATTAGTCAATGAGAAATTAATACCAGATATATCACTATCTTGCGCGACGATTTCAATAGGAATCATATTATTATTTTTTTTATCTACTTATTCTTATTTATTTGATTTTTACTTATTTTATTTTTATTTTTTTTTACTTATTTTTTACTCAATTATGTGCTCACATTATCATCGTAGGAAATTTTTTAAACTTAAATATAAGCACATCTTAGATATTTACACCATGCAGTAAATTATGTTCACAATTTGAAGGCATTCTCATTTTAGTTCAAGAAACACAAATACGTCATACAAAAATTTTATAATCATCTGTAACGTATTATAAATTATTGAAATGTGTAATTTCACGCAGTATAGAGCAATATTTAGAGATGTCAATCTCTTTCAGATCTCAATAGCGATGATTTACTAATGTTGCTAGAAAAAAATACAGACAAGCATATGTAGAGCACGTGATTCGCGAAAATCAATCTTGTGAATGAACGCATGAATGGAGATTTAATCTTCATTTAAGATGCGCT